TGCACCCTGGGCAACGTATTCTCATACGGCTAAAAGTCTATTAACTGGCAGTTGACTCCTCAATTCAAACTACCATCACCTCACTCTATGCCATATTCGACTATTTCCACAGTTCTCACCTCACCTTTTTTCTACCTTTGTGTTTGTCTCTTGCATCTTTGAAACACTCTTCTGTTCCCCCCCCCCTCTCGACTTTTTCAATTTGATGTTCCTTCCCCTCTCTGAAGCCTGGAGTAAACTAAAGGGTTAATGATAACCATCAAGACGCTTGCCATTTGATATAAATAAATAAAATTGGATTACCTAGAGGTTACCTTAAAAATTCCATGCAAGAAAGGAGATTAAAAATGGAAAATTATATTCTATTTGTGGCAAAAAGATCGCGACCTCTAAGAGACTGATCTTCATTGATTAATTGGGCTTGAGATCGTTGTACTTATAAGAATAATAATAATTGTGTAAATGGGATCCACCTATTTTCATGCTTGTGTCATAGCTAGATACGATTTGTGACTTCCTCCTGCTCTTAGAACGTTGACGAATATCGGTTTTTGATTTCATGACTTTCACAGCTTACAATGCTGCTCGGAATTGATACAAACACACTTGTGTGTGAGTGCCATCGCTCCATTGGAAATTGAAGCAGTAGACTATGTTTCACGCCCCCAGTTTTCACACACTTCATATAATCTCCAAAAAAAATTTCTCAACATTCGTAGCTATTGGATTCTTAGAAAGACGGAATTTTCCAAATATTCACATAAGCAAGTGACATTTTTTCATCAATCAGGTTGAATAGAAGTAATCAGTTTAATTGAGCATTAATTTGTCTTGCCTTTAACATAATTTTAAGCCAAAACCATTTTAATTAAGATAAAATAAGGTCAGGTTAGGTTAATAAATTCTGAGTCCCTAAATATGTCCATTGGAGGACAACCTTTTAGAGACCAACTTACGGTAATTTATAGTGATCCTATGCTTGTACTCAGCGTTTTAGTAGTATCAGTCATCTGATATTTTGTTGCACAGAAAGTGAAATCACACAGCGGTGCTATTAAAGACGGATGATTTTGGAACAGCGGTTGACCGTTCATTTTTCGAATACAAGTATGTTTTGGCGAAGGAAACAGAGGCATAAATTTCAATAGCTAGCCCCCTTAAATGAAAGGGTAAAATCAATTTCAACTAGTCTAGTCACAGCGTCCAAATAATGTTCCAAAATTTTGAAATCGAAATAGTATCCACACATTGAAATCACTTATCTATTGGCCTATTTAAGCGTTTGTACATGCCCTCAGCCCATGTAGAAATTATTGAATTATTTAATACCGTGGTAGGACCTGCCATATTTTCACTGCAGCAAATATTGAAAAACTAAGCAGCCAATCATTTCCTATCGATTAGTATCCATTTGAATTAATCACCATCTCCAGAAAGTTGCACGCCAAGGGTTGCATGAGTCAGCGCGTACTGAACGCATGGGAAGTTAAATGTCTAATTTGTTTATAAATGAATGGAAGTTTAAGTCATGAAGTGACTTTGTATAATTACTTAGGGATTGGCGCGCATAGGCAAATAAGATCGGGTGACCCTTTAAATGAAGCGGATTAGTATAACAACGGGAAATTGACTCGTAGGCTCACAGAGGAAAAGTCTTCGCCTGAAAAAGGTGATTGAAAATGTAATAATCGAAAGCACGAAGAGAATTAACCTACCAGTCTTCCAGGGAGAATGTTGGATAAGTAATCCAGATGGTGAGGTGGGGAACATTTAAATTGGCGATAAATAAGATAAATGAAAATGAGTTATTTGAAATATCAAAAGAGGCAGTTTTGTTGTCATGGTAAGCAGGTAATTAATGATGAATGCTGGCAAACGGGTATGATGAATAGGAAGGCGGGCAATCGTCGGGCTGTTTTACCTCTTTTTAAAGTACTTTTCATGAGGCGTTTCTAAGGCCAACTTTTGCCATAAGCACTGGTGAAAAGATAACTCCGGATGTGGAGAAAGCTGGGACAAGCTGGGTGAATGTGATAAAAGACTAATTTCTGAAAAAAGTAACGAGAGCCTTCTCTCAGAGCAAATAATAGCCATTTTCACTGTTTATACGGCGCCACACGACGCCGATCATTATCACCAATTTCATTTTTTTAAAAATCTACCTAATAAATGGATCTTTTCCTCTTAGGTTAATTAGGTATACTTCCACAGATGAAAAAACTTGGCTGAATTAGTCTTTAAATTTAAATCAAACCATCATGTGCTCCAGTGACCAAAGCAGTAATCACGTGTACTTTCAATTGCTGTTTGCTTTTATCCTCAATTCCGGGTCAATTTTTGTTATGTTTACTTCTAATCTCGCTAGATGAGAAGTTCGCTATTTGAAATCTCAAAAATTTCACTTTACTTATATATATATATATATATATATATGTATTTTTTCAGCCTGACCAACATAATAATTAGAACTCTCTAACTCCCACACTTTTTTAAGTGTTTGGGAATTTAAAATTCAGCTAATCAATATATATATATATATATATATATATTTGTAGGCCATATTTGCTCTCTTTAACTTCGTTTTAAGGAACCTGTAATGCAATACGACAATGATATACAATGACAGTTTTTTTTCTTTCAAGCAACTTTAAGTGCATATTAAAATACTATTTGGTATTTTTAATAATTTGATACTTACCTCCAGAAATAAATAGGAAAAGTTTTAAGACAATGTGTTGCAAAATCGTTTGCACACTTTTTCTGCTCTTCCTTGAGATTAAAATGAGATATTAATTATAAACACTCTACAGTGCAATCTTGACCTTAATAATCTGAGCATTTTTGGATAGTGCTGTGAGGTGGGGATGCTAATTTAATTTTCTCTTAAATATAGGGAATCTGTGTTCCCATTCCCGTCTTTAGTTGGGATAGAAGGAAAATATATGTGTTAGCAAGTTATCTTTTTGTCAAAAGTGGCTGGCTAGGTTTTGAATCCGTGATCCTTAATATTGTTTATAAGAAGAACTAAGCGCAGTTGATGTCGAATAGCATACTTTTCGTGCATCTAAATAAATTTTACAGTTTTTATTCCATTTGGATTAGTTTCTTAATTAGTTTCTTGATTTCTACACTTATGCGGCAGATTTAAGAAAAGAGCTTTAAATATTCTATGTACCTTATGTGCCGCTGAGGAATGAGAAAAGATTTTGTTCCTGATCCCATGACTTTTCTGTCTTCTATAAATAGTTGAACTAGACACTTAGTGAGTTTCACTATTCCAAATCACTTTGATGGAGAATGTATTTGATGATTGCACAGATGGAGAAAGAGCCTGTTTGGATTAAGGTTAGAGACCTACTCAAGATGTAGGTCATGCACCTCACATGGGCTTTGTATTATCGACTCCTTGTCCATTTCTTATTATAAATTAAGCTGTAAAAGCATGACTATTGCCGCCATTAAAGTACTAGTTTGACTATGGAGGATTTGGATTAATGTACTCTATCGAAAGCCCAAACAGTTTTAGACTCACTACTAATTTTAATTCAATAGCAGTTTTGTTTCAAATAGTCTTAGACTTCAACCATGGTTAATTGAAGAAGCAAATAATTGTCCTGTACGTAACCACAACCTTAATCATAAGAGGTATCTGCTCTCGTTCATTCGAATTCGATTGCTCAAACCAAAACTAAAGAAATTAAGTGGTAACGAGTTTGTAGTTTGGTGGAAACACAATCCTAAGCACATAGTTGTTTTCAGGTCATTTGCCAAAATAACTAATTGTCCGGTGGCCGTCAAAACGTCACACGTCCCGTCTCCTTAGAGTAAATTATTCGGCCCTTCTTGATAACATATTCAATTAGGTCCTGTGATTCTCCCAGTCGAAAAATGATATTTTCCCATCTAAAAGTAAATGAAATTAAGATTTCCACCAGTCAATTATGATTTATTCTAACCATTAGCTCTTTAAATAAACAGATATAATATGCTGACTATGTTTCCAGAACAATTTTTGACTAAATATAGAAAATTATAATTCATATGAATTCTAAATAAGAAAAGAAATAATAATAATAATAGAAAAAGTGCAGCAAAAAAATGCGTTTATTTTAGGAGAAATGTTTTCTTGTATTATGGACAACGATTTTCTTTGCGGAATCTATTGCAATCTGGTGATATGGAGCGAGTTGGGGCAATTAATTTAATCAATCTCTAAATTGAAGTTTTTAAGTACGGATGCACTCTTCTAATACTGCAGCTTAATCCTTCTCGGAAGGTACTGTGCACCCATTCTTTCATTCTAATCCTCACCCTCAGATGAAGCTAACTTTAATACTGCGTCATTTTGCATATATCTAAACCAAGGTTTCTTGCACTACTTGTTGTTGTCAAAGGATAACCTTCCTTTCACGACTGTATGAGAAAGGGCTGTAGGTAATTATCAACCATTTTTCCTACGTTTTCCGTTATTCAAAAACGTTCATGAGAGGGTGCAATATGGAATATTCAACGATACCTGATTCCTCATAGAGCATTGTGGAATGTATTACGTGGGTTCACAAACCTCTAAGACAATCTGTAATCGTGTTTATGCAATGCAGAATAAAATCGATAGTATTTCATGGTTAATTAAGTGGAGGGTTTATTAAAACATCCACTAAACACATTCAACGTCATATTCACTTTTCCTAACTGCTAATTAGGGGAGCGATCTTATACTAGCCGACTTTGCTAGAGATGATTCCTAAGGTGTAGTCGGGGTTTATTTGTGCATTATCCTCAATAACCTTCGAAGATGTGACAACTTCTGCAAATATAGCAGAACTCAAATCTTTGCTTTTGGAAACTACTAAATACCTTTCTCTCTCTCTCTCTCTCTAAGGTGTCTCTAGCTGAGTTTTAATTGCATCCTTCAATGCCTATTGAAGCTCTCGTATTTTGCTTTCCCCACTCTCCAGAAATACTTTTGTTGAAAACCCAGCTTTCATATACTCAACTAGTATATTTATTGGCCGAATAAGCGAACGTGTTGCAGTCAAATGGGCTAAATAAATATACGAAGGTAAGAGTCTCAATGCTTTATAAGTAATTTAACAAGTTCTTACTTATGTCTGAAAATCGATAATGATTCTAGGTTATTTAGTTTATGACAGAACCATAACTGCGCTTTAGAGACGGAAAAAGTAAAACTATTCTGAACAATCAAGTTTTAAAGCTTCATCCTTGACCAAATGAATTACGTTTTAGCTAATGAGAAAACGACATGTATAGGTACTTAGTGTATACACTTGGTTTTACGAGATGTCCTCGTGGTAACGTACTAACGTTTCGTTCGAAAGCATTGCAAATCTGTTGACAACTTAGTTCCTTATCAAGCCCAAACTTATGCTAAAATTGGGGTCTATAACACATCTAATATCATAATTTGTATGGAACCGGGGAGATACTTTAGACGAAGTCGAGTAGAAATTGATTGAAGGCGATCGAGACTGTGAGACGGTCATACAAATATGCACTAAATGTTTATAAACTGCGTAGCAAATCGATTAGTATTAAAGTCAAAAAACGACAATTTTGCCTTATAGGGAGTTTGAAACTAGGTAATAGAAAGACGATTCTAACAGCATTATGCAATAGTGTTTGAAATTTCGGTATTTAGTAGAGATACGTCTTGGTAAAACGAAGAAATCCGCGCGTCATAATTATTTGGAAGAAAAGGTGAAGGTTAGCAAGTAGCTGATTATTAAATGAGTCACGCCACAATTAAAGTTTTAGCTTCACCTGGTTGAAGATTCCACTTTTGGGCATAGATCACTGAACCATTTACCACATAGCGAATTTCTAGATAAGTTGAAATTGAGTCCAAAGTACTTTGAGTGTACTGACTATATTGATCCTTTATAATGGTAGATGATAAAATTTTGATAAATTAGCTTCTTATAACGATCACAGCATCAATTTATAGTAGCTGGGATTTTAAATTTATGAAAGACCACTAAAATTATGACATTTCTAGACATTTGACATCATGACGGAATCAGCAAATGAAAGACGAAGATGTGCAAGATAAAGGGGGAATAGTTATTGCTCCTTAAGATTGTCTAACTGACAAGGAAATGGCAGATGAAATTGAACTAATGCGAAAGCGAATTCCAAGGCTATTGCAAGACGACGAAGATATTTCAATGCAATGGTAGCGAGAGGAGGATTATAAATATTCTCGCTTACAGAGATTTGTGCTTACAAAAAATATAGGAGAATCGATGGTCTCATCCAAAACTGAAAAGAACATTCCTTGCCCAAATGCAAACTCTATAAGTCAGGAAACAGATAAGCGCCAATTGATCACAAGGAAAATAATTTCCAAAAAACAGAGGCATTCAATTGTTGGACTTTCTAGAACCATTGTTAGCTTTCTTCAAGTGAAATAGACAAATGAAATGATTATAATAATTAGTAAAATTATGACTTCTAATTTGTTTGATTATCTTCGCTGAGAAATTGACACTAACTTATGCGCTAATATAAAAGAATGCTTTAAAAAGGTCTTGCCGTTTTCATACCATTCGAAAGAACATAGCGATTAGACGATTGGTTACAAGATTGCAATAATTTAACGAACATGGTGCCAAAGAAAGATGTTCATCCAATTTGATAGAAATATTATGTGAGAGCTTCATTTTGGAAATAACTATTGGTAGAAGGCCTTCATGAATATGAAGACGCCTCAAAATCAATGAGTCCCCTCCAATCCTCAAGACCAATCGAAACGCTTACTTTTGATCTTTAAGTATGAAATTAGAAGTCTTGTTTTTAAATAGATAGGCCCAGAATGCCTACTATTAAAATCTAAATAATATTAAAAATATTTTGAGAAGATAATCCTACAGGGTGAATAGCGCTATTCATTCAGAATGTTTTTCAGATTTATGAAGCTATACACCAATGTAAGTTAAACTTTTCAAAATATCCCACCTCGTTGTATTAATTACGACAAAGTCTCCTTGTCGACCTTCAGTAATAGCTCCTACCCGATGAGAAAGATCGATACTGTAGGCTGCATTGATCGTTGCTGCGATGAAGGCCTGTTCCAAGGTCAAACCCAGGGTCGTGCAGGCGAGATACATCACGATGGGCTGGTGATCAAATGATAGAAGCAAAGTTAAGATAAAGGCAGGAATAATAATATTGATTAGTTTTCTTCAATTTAAATTAGGTCAACATTTGAATCATTGGATGTAAATAAAATAAAGGAAATTTTTAAAAAAAATATTTCGAAATTTTTTTGCTTCAATTTCAAATGATTTTAACACAAAGAACATTTTACTTACAATAAAATTTCAGGTCGAAAAGAGTTATGGAAAATGTAATTCTATGCGGACGTTTTACAAAAAAAGAGGATTATAAAAGGAAGCTTACAAATTTCTTTCGAAAACTATCGACCATTTGAACCTCTTCTTCAAAGCTCAGCCGACTAGCAGTCAACTTAGTGATACCGAATATCTCTATCTCGCGCTCTAGTTTCTTCCTAGGGTCACGTCACCTTAAAGCCTCTCTCCCCCCTCTCTCCCCCTCTCTCTCTCCCCTTCACTCCTTCCCAAAGCAGAAACAGCCGTAACACCGAATTTTATCAGCTGTGAGGTTTAATTAAGCTCGTGAAAAAAAAAATATGTGCCAACGCTGCAGAGGTCAAATTTTTCATCAAAATATGAACTTTATCTACCCTTCATAAATATTTGCAGTTTATTTAAGAAAAAATGGTATAAACGCATTAAAATATCTGATGAGTGTTGTTAATAATGCGGACGGGAGAGACAATTCGAATGATAACTGAGGTTCACTTGGGTTGGTTTGATTTGTCTGTCTATCTCCTGAAATCGCGTAGGAGAAGCCGTCATTTTCATAAGTAAACAAGTGGATAAATTTAATTTAGCTAGTTAATAGAAATCAATACGTATCGATTTGATAAGTATTGAGGCAAATGGAATGCGAGGCATATACTCTCTTGTACTTTAGGTCGAAATATTTCAATTTTTGGGTTAATTAACTGAATCAAAGAAACGCTGCTTATCTAATGAAACTAAATATTGATTTTGACAACTTTGACATAATTTTAACACAAGGTGTCAAAAATAATGTCCATTAAATGAATTAGCCAAAAGTATATCTATTATATTTGGGAAAATACTTTATTTTTCGCTCTAAAAAGAATAGGAGAACGAAATTTGTTAAATTATGTGAGTAAACTCTACTCAAGACGACATTTTTTAAATTGGGACACTTAAAATCACTAGATTTGATGAAACATTACAAAATTCTTAGCAATTATCCCATTGATTTTAGTAATTAGAAAAAAATATTTCTTGAATCGCTCTTTGCAATAAGTGGATTTGCATACCAACAAAAAAGTTTGCGCTTATTAAATATGAAGGCGCCTGAGAATTTAGCATTTTTCAGAGGTGGTATTAAAGACCACAATTTTGACCTCTATCGAAGTTGGTTTCAGGAGGGAACGGTTGGTGTAATTTCTGAAGAAGTTCTCCTGAAGTATGTTTAGAAAGTAAGGATGCTAAGATTGGGTTGATAAATAAAATATTTTACAAAGATATTCATAAAATGAATTTTGTTTTACTTCCACATTGAACGGCATTATTTCCATAACATTTTCCATGAATAGGCGAAGAGAATTTCGGCAGAAGCTTTCACCACATATGCAGAAAATGACCAAGGGAATTTTATGATTGCACTTGTTTTAAGAGATCGTGGAAGTAATTTTTATGATTGCTGCAATTAAAATTGCAATGAACTAATGAGGTCCTTATGGTTTCTTCGCAGTGGAAATAGTAAAATTCAGATTAAAGGCATCTCTCCAATTAGATGCTATGAAGATATTAAGAGAGATCAGATTAACATCTAAGTCCATTACAACCTCTCATGAAAAATCAGCTAAACTTCCAAAAAAATAAGAAATATCACAAAATTGAAATTTTTTTGACAAATTAAAGCAGTATGTATGGCAGATACAAAATAATCGTAATGTTTTTGCGAAAAACCTATTAGAATTCGTTGAAATTTTATTTATATTGGATTTCATTTCTTGTGGAGGGAATATCGATTTTGTGTTTGGGGTTAATCCGTTTTCATATGGCTACTTTCGATCTGTGGAAATATGCTTTCGAATTGTATTCTCATGTGGATGTAGCATTAAACGATTCAATAATTTTTAAGTTTAAATCGTTTAATTGTTCGATGAATATTAACATTCCTTCTCATATATATTGAAATACTTTTAATAAATTTCGTTGACACAGTACATTCAAATGCATTTTCGAACGAAAATTAAACTAATACAAATCTTTCCTTCCGGAGATGTCATTGGGAAATGGAATCCTTCTCGTTACCAAGACATTGTACCTTTCCATCAATGCACATGAATCTAACTCATAGAACTATTGTTACTCCAAAAGTATCTCAATTTATATTTATAGTAGATTTACCTCTACGTGGTGCATCGTGGGCCATGTATACTCATACGACAAAACAATCGATAAACCGGCAGTTGATTTCTCACTTCAAACTACTATGACCCCACTGTATGTCATATTCGACCCCTACCACCACAGTACTCATCTTACCTTTTCCCTGCCTTTGTGTCTCCCTGTCTCTTTTACATCTGTAAATCACCCTTCTGTTCCCCTCTCGAATTTTTCTCACTTTGACGCACCTCCCTTCTGTGAAGCCCGAAGTCAACTAAAGGGTTAATGGTAACTCTCAAAACGCCTACCATTCGAAATAAATAAATATTTGTAGTATTTACTTATTTTGTTTAAAATTTGTAGTTGTAGAGTAAAACGCTAAGCAATTAAGTACTATACTAAGATATCTGTTCAAGCCTTCTTTTCTGCCCTTCTGATTTTTGATATAATTGACCGATAATCTTGTGCTATGAAGTGGCTAGATGTATATCCATCTCAACTTTTTACTATTAGGTGCTTAATACAGACCATTCTGGAAGTGATGGACAGCTCTGATCATATGCTTCGAAACTTCGATTTAATCTGTCCTGACCTCTGCTAGATCATGCCAAAATGTCATAAAGTTTTAAAATTTGACTGACATAAAATATACAGCAGGTGATATACTTTAGTATTTGCAAATACATGCCTTGGCATGAGCTTTGAAAAGGTCTCTAGATTAATTTGATAAAAAAGTTAAACTAGTTCATTATTACTTTGATTTGCGAGAGTATTTTCTTGTAGAATATTATTAAAGTAAATTAAAAGGGTTAAAAGTAGTCATTCAATCATATCATCATGCTTAAGAGAAGAAAAAAGATATAAATTGAAATAAAATTTAAATTGGACAGTCCTATTTCACAACATTAACTTTAATATGGCAAACTTTGATGGAAAACCTTATAAATAACTAAATAAAAATTCTACACAATGCACTTTTAAGTAAATTTCAATTCAATTACTGCTTTAAGTATAATTTGGAATTAAACAACAATCCACTTAAGTAATTATTCAGTTGTACTTTAATACAATAGAGCTACCTTATCGAGCATTTTCTATGGAAATGTAGAGGTAAAGTATTGCTTCAAATAGTTAATAACAAGTTCAGGGAAAGAATTTTGCCGTTTTAGTTAAGTACTTCATTCTTATGGGAAGATACCATAGGCTGAGTTTCATAAGAAAGACCAAATTTTAATAAGTAGCCGACAAAATCATGGCCCATGATTGTAATATTTATGATTTGACACAGAATATGTATTTCCCACGGCCTGCCACCAATTCGGCCATCATCCTTTTCAAGATTATTGATTACTGAAGTTAATATTCATATTAAAGAAACTTATCAGTGCAAACTTTGTCACTAAGGTTCGAAGTTTTTAGCATGGTACTTTGTCAGGGGGGGGGGAGAGGGAAAAGATTCATAGTCATGTACCTTCACGTTGATATGAGGGAATTTTGTTAGTGAAGTCGATTTATAGGGGTTTTTACTATGATTTTGTGGATAAAATTTAGTTTTTCAATATGATATATGGAGAACGAAAGGGCAGATTTTAAAATTGAATAAATTCGTTTGCTAGGTTTGTTATATCAATAGAAAAGTGTCATTTAAAAAGAGGAAATAAACGAAGATTTCCTCCTGTAATCTCTATGGATATCCTTCAGATTTTGCGGGAGGTTTATTTCAATATGAGTAACGTTTTCAAACTATTGGGAACAGTTGTACGGATTTTTTTTCATAAATTGAGATTTCAATTCTTTTGCAGTCTCACGATCACACACACATATATTTAGCTAATCAGAACAGAGTAGTCTAATATCGGAACAAATAAACCAATTGAAATTCAACGAGTTTACCCTATTATTGTTTCATTAAATTAAGCTCAATATGCGTGCTCACTCAATATGAGCTAAAAAAATCATGCACCCGTTTTTGTGTTTACATGCGTCCTGAACAACAGTTTTATTTTAATAGATGTCAGAAAAAAATTTACTTGAGCAACTGAAAAACACATTATAATATTCCATTTTGACGTCATTCTAATTGTTGATTTTAAAACTTATTAATTGATATATGCTAATTAGATTTAAAAATAGCCCAAAACATTCCAGTTAATCAAATTCACTTTTAATTCATTAATAAAATTTAGTTTTAAAATTTAAATCAGGAAAGACGATACGAGGTTTGAATAGTATGATAGAGTCCTTAATAAGGTCCAAAAATGGACAAGGTAGCTCTGAATTATCATGATTAATGATGGTTCTTTTGTATGTTATTCTCTTGGCTTGGCAGTTATTGACAAAGCATAGACTAATTCCTAACCACAGCCTTGGAAATTGGGAACTCGAAACAGACAGAGGTGATAGCCTCTATAGGAGAATAAAAGTCAAACCGTACTTGAAGGTGTGAACTTCAATAAATTTCATTTATTAATCGATATTTTGCAAAATTTTACTCCTCTTCCCGATTGATCTTATAAATAAGGCAAATTAAAAGTAAATCAAAGTTATCGCGTGGTGAATGTTCGTGCACTTGAAAAGTTGAGTGCTTTTTAAAACTTAAGTCAAAAGATAATTTGTCCTTAAAGAAAGTGGAAACAATTTTATTAGGTCTTTCTAAATAAATTTACCATCGAAATATATTTTTGCCAGAAAGACTTGAATATTTGTTAAAATCAAATGTTTACACCAAATAATATCGCTTTCATTTACAGATGGTTTTTGTAGAATCAAAGTTCTAAGAACAGATTTCGTCACCTATGATGTTCCGTCTCCCGGGTGTGCGATAGACTTACCTCCACGTGGGGCACCCTGAGCAACGTATACTTATGCGGCAAAAAAAGTCTATAAACCGGCAGTTGACTTCTAGATTCAAGCTATCATGACCCCACTGTATGTCATATTCGACTACCTCCACAACACTCACCACACTTTTCATCTACCTTTGTGCCTATCTCTTTTACATCTTTAAAACACTCTTCTGTCCCCCCCCCCCTCCTCGAATTTTTTCACTTTGATGTTCCTCTCCCTCTGTGAAGCCTAAAGTCAACTAAAGAGCTAATGATAACTATCATAAAGCCTGTCATTTGATATAAATAAATAAATGTTTCGTCTCCACTGAGCGTTTTATAGGTGAAGAATGTTCAATCACAACTTCCCCAAAATATTGACTCACCATGGAAGTGCAGAAGAGATTTGCACGGAAATCAGTCCCAAGGGCGATAGGAACTCCGGCCTGAGCAATGGCAATTGCAGGTGGAGGCAGATGACGCAGAAGAAGAGTTGTGGTGGGTAGGAGGACCGCGGCTGTTCGGGATCCCGTCAACGCTGCTACTCCAGCAGGCGAAACTTCATCAAGATGACTTACTGCTCGAGCGTTAAGCGATGCCGCAAGCTATCAAGAAACAGAAAATCTATAATTGCAAAGTCCGAGATTTAATAAAAGACACTTAACAAATTCTGCATAGCAAGCGCTCACAAATTTTAAGCAAAACATCGAGAATTAGTCGATGAATGAAGGAACCAGAACACACACAAAGGGAAATGCACGCTGGTCTGATGTATGGAACATCCTTACTGAAAATTGACATTAATCATCTTTACCTCTTCAATAAGAGGTTGGTATTTTTTTCCAATCCTTTTTTTCCATGCAATTGCATGTGATCAGTGAAAACGAAGTGGAAGGTTTAAAAATAGAGCGACAATATTTTGTAACTTGATTGGCATAGCAGTTGTCCATCTCAATGCGACTTCATACTTTCTCAATAAAATGTTCCCATGACAATAAATTTGGAGGTAGATGGAAGGTAAATTTTTTTCAAGTAACTGCAAGTGGTATAGAGCTTTTGAAAGCTGAACGGTCCGCACTAGTTAGTTCTGTTCTAATATGGGGAATAAAATGTGATCAATTGTGCTGCGGAAATTAATGAACTCATTATTGGACGGCATTGTGACACTTGAGCACATTAGGGGCTGTTTATTTGTACATTAAGCATACGAATTACTGGTTGTCATCGGTTTATAGTACAGATGAATTGAAAGCAAAGGTTCCAATTTACAATTAAAATAAAAGTCTTCTATTAATAAAAGAGGCCCCCGGAGAAACTCGTGTTACCCAATTGGTTAAGGATTCTGACAAATTAAATATAAGCATTTGCCAGTGGGTTTTAAACTGCTTGGGATTTCATCGAACCCAGGGTTTATTTGGCAACCAATAATGACGGTAATTTCAATCAAAGCACGTTCAAGTATAATGACCCAAATCACCCCCTTGCAACGGGGAAAATTGGTTTCCAAAGTTCAGGGGATGTGGCCGTGAATATTTGAACGTTAGAGGAACAAAAAAATACTATTGTTATTTTCTTTACACTCATTTAGTAGAAAAATAAAAGAAATACACCAGATGTCTTAAATATCATCAAAACAATGTTGCGAAAAAATCGATCTATAAGCTGTCGTCACTTGATACACACTTGGCTTTGGGCATGTCACATTAAAATCTCAGTTTTTTCAGCATTAGATAGTGAGGCCAAATTGATTGTTGTCCTTTATATTTGTAGAGAGTCACGTCATTTTCTACATTAGCCACTTCTGCATTAAAAATCGATATTAAGATGCTTTCATTCTTCACATGAAACCACTTTTATTTTCGCCACCAGGTAGTTGTGTTATATTTGGCATGAACAAATTTGGCTGGTCCATGCAACTACAGTCTCTCTCTCTCTCTCACCCCCTCTCCCTTTTCACTCTCTACCTTTTCGGGACTTTTGCGTAAAAGGGCACTTCTAGATATTCCCCCTTAAAGGGGAGGGAGGGGGGGGGGAGGGTGAATCATGGCGGTGGTACAAGCAAGTTCCACAAGGTCGTTTCCATCAGGGAGTGTTCAGTACACAAGTGTCAATTTTCATAACCAAAATTTCTCCCACCTCCCAGCACACTCCCCTCCACCTACATGGCACACGATCAAATGCCATAGGTCTGTGTGTCTAAGTGTGGGCGGAAAATAGGGTCATCATAGTTCCAGTTTAAATTAATTTAAATCACTAAATTATTGCCTTTGAATTTTGTTCGCTGATGTTAACCTATGCGACTTGATGAGGTAGAGGAGCAAGAATAGTGGATTAAGGAAAAATTCCTCCATTATTCCATTTAAGTTCGACAAACAACCTGCAGGGAAGATTTAAAGAACCAATGTGTTCCCTTTTTTACCACTAAAAATGAGAAAATCATTGCGATTTGTTTCATATAGTTAAGAGCCTTTTTAATAGCTTCTTGGGGAGGGATAAAATACCTATTTCTTACGATCACTCCAAATCCCCCAATGAGCTTGGAATTTGTCCAAAGTGTATCAACACTTACTTATGTGGAGTTAACTAAATGCAATGGATTTCACCCCACACTTCGTCTACGGCTGTGTGTGTGTGTGTATTAATATTTCACCGCTATCTAACCTCTGTTAATTGCGCTTTACTCAGCCACTGGGAGACACTTTTAGCCTTGCGGCTATGTGTCCTCATCATACGTTAGCATTCAGTTATTTTCACCCCACTCCACCCAACCCAACCCCACCCCTCACCTTCCCATCTTGAGGTAGTGGAATGCTTAAGGTAAGAAAAGGCTGTGTGGCAAACGCACTTTCACTTCCCCTCATAGAGCCGAGGTATCATATAAATGTCGGATTATTTGTACCAAAATATGATGGTGGTTATGTTGAGTAAATCCTTTAATATAAATGCCGAAAAGGGAGAGACAGTTATCGATTAAATAAACACTATTCTGGACACTTTAACATTAAGTACTGATGAGAGTGAGCATTACTCTATTATTACTAGGAGTACAACTAATTCTACCTTATTTAAGATATGTTTTGAGTTCCCCTAATAAGTTGACTTAATGCGATAAACTGAACAATAAATGCCTTTTCTGCAAAAAATTGATCCACGCGGTGAAATGAATTGGTCTATGAGAATAATCACAACCATTAGCTCCTCGATAAATTAACTGGGTTGGCAAGAGTTCACTCAAGAACACATGGATTAAATTTTGGAAATTAGACCTAGAGTAGTTGAGGGATTGTATAATGAATTGCGGCTGTTTAATCAGACGTGAACAGTCAAAAAGACCCTAAATTCAAGAGGGAAAGTTCGCATTGAGTTTGCTTAACCCCCCCCCCTCCTCTAATTTCACAATTTCCAAGACTACTTTACTTCCCTTTGTGATAATACATTCTGACTTGGGGGTATTAGTGGCTGATTGATGTGCAGACGAGGTAGTTACGGAGTAAAGGCGTTTAAATTAATTCATCTATCCTCCATAATTATGTCATAGGTTGCTATGCCTATTTGACGAATTCAAAGCGTTGAGGATAATGATATGGTCTAGTGATTATCCGTGATAAGAGCGTAAAATGGATTTGCTTACCTTAAAATTGCATTTTTAATTGAGAAATATCTGGTTTAAGTTGGCATATGAGGCATTTTTTTACTTACACCATCTTGGTGAGATCATGGCCAGTCGAAATAATAGAATTTTCATTTACTCTTTAATGCGTGCCTGATTTACCTTTTGGACAGCCAACAAAGGAGATTGAATGTTATTATCGCGCATGAGTAAGTAAATTATGTCTTTCATAGATTAATTGCACACCCTTTGGCAATAGAAAGGAAGTTATGGAGCGAAAGATTTTTACAGACATAGGTAATGCATGATCGCATAATTAAACAACTGCATGCTCAATGGATGTGAGGGTTAAAAATAATTAATCCGGATGTACAAATTAACAAACACGCCTCAGTTCTCACACTATTGGGGACGATGAATATATGTTTATGCGTGAAATAGATGCATAGACACAAAATTTTCAAGAATCGCTACAAAAATATTCCTCCCCCCCCTAGCCTCCAAATCCTCTTCACTCTGTTGTTTAAATAGATAACAGGCCCTCAGCATAAGGGATCTACTTCAATGGGTCATTCAGGATGTTTGAGTAATAATTTGGCTCTTTTAAGTGGTGTTTCACATTCACACCCTAAGTGGCCTCAACTTTCTTTGCCTTCTTTATAAAATGGTGTATGTTAGCATATTTTACTTTACTGATTTACCCTTGGGCACACACATATTGTGATAAGAGATAGTTTACAAGAAATTTATTTCCCAAACCATCCAGACAAAACAAATCAAACATTTCATCCCTAACTATTTAAATAACAACTTTTTTCCTGTCAACTTAAAGGAATTTAAGTAGAAAACTCAATGGGAGAAAAATAAATCGCCAAATGAACTATCTTAAAAAAGCGTAATAATTATGTAAGAATGAGTAATCTATGAAAAGCGTTCGTAGGCATATGCTTGATTAGAGTTCACAGCAGATATAATAGAGATCACGAATTCGATTCTGCTCCACTGGGAGGAATGGCTGAGAAAAGTAGGGATTAATAATAATTGAAGGAAAGTGGGCATATCATGTTTTGTAAACAGGAGGAAAAATTGGCACCCTTTCCTCAGCACAATACATGTGCCAAATACTATTCTGTCGACGGACTTGGGAGGATATAAGAATCGGATTTGAAAAATGAAATCTGTTCATTAGTGAGACAAATTTTGTAGTAGTAAATCTTGATTATTTATTTAAATTTTAAATGACCTCTTCCTACCCAATAGCTGATTAAACAAATAATACGAAGTCATATCTGTGGAAGGTTTTGCCACGAAATTTCGTCAAGAAATACCAACAGCGTGTCCACTCAACAATACGACTTTGCAGGAGAGTGGTGGCAAGATTTGTCGTTCCGTACTTGAAAGTACGCTTGTCAATATTAGCGTATGAGATTAATTTTACGCAATAATTACGAAATTCTAACTTAGTGTGCTGGTTTTAAAATTTATTGATGCTTTAATTAACTAATTAAAATATCTCAGAAGCATTTTTTTAATTCACCATGTTAGTTAAATTAAGACACGCGCCATTGAATCTTGCCTAACAAAACACGGAATTCGTCAATTAGATTAAATGGAAAAAAACACATTAAAGCATTTTAAAAAACGACCTAAAATATAAAGTAGTATAAAAACAAAATTAATGGAGTTATCTTCATGTAAAATGGAAGCAAATTAAATAAACTTTCAAGGCAGAGCTCAGTAACCAACATCAACTGTGAGTTCATTTATTAAGTGAAAATAGCACATTTTAAGAGTAATCTTGAGTGAACTCCTACGAGCTCTGAAAATTTAGAACTTATTAGTTGGTATTTTCACAAAGTTACCCCAATTAATCACCTAGTCAATAATCCGAAAGCATGCGTTTACTTGGAAAACAGGGGGGGGGGGACGAAAATTCTTGAATTTGGAAAAAAAACGGAATCATAAACCTGGAAGGTGAAAAATTTGCAACTTAAATGGAGTAATCGACCTTTTGCAAGGCAAGGGGATTTTATTTTTACCTCGAATAGGTTCCCAACATTGAACCTCTAATGGATGTCTCTTCGGTTTCCCATTCCCACTTACTCTTCCTTGAATTCGTCTCGTTGGAGTCAATACGCAAACGCATTGTATCCAAGTTTTCCTTGACGCTTATAAATTATAATATTCTCCTTTATGCAAAATGTCATTTAGTTTGTAAATGTAAATATTTAACTTATTTTTCAATTTCTTCCGGAAAGGTACTTAATTTATACTTATTGAGCTACAATTTAAAAAATGCTTATGTTTGCAAATCGGTGTTATTTCGCCAATAGGTATGCACGTCAATTCTAGGGACTTGAGAAATTTATGAAAAGACAATTGTCTGATTTTGCATCATTGGTGGAAAAAATAAAGAGATTTCTGCTGTGGTGTTTTCAAACTTTTCCGGAAGCAATTTCCCAAATAAATTAGATTCTAATTGGAGAGTGGGCGACAAATCGATTTGACAACGCCTTCCTGTCTATTATGGAAACGGTAGGTTGACAGAAAGAAAGACAAAATAAGTACCGTTCTAATCAACAGCTTAGAAGGAAACAAAATTAAAATGGAAAAAATCAATTTAGTAGCGCGCAATAGAGAAAATGGCACTTGAGTACTAGCTCACGCGGACAAATTAAGCGAAATAGATTTACGTGAATTACTTACTATGGGAAACTTTGGATTTAAAAGCCAAAGATTCCGAGCAAAACCGGAGTGCGGGCCGAAATGTATTACAAACCCTAATTGTAATTGTGCATAATTCCTGTATCGTTTCACACATATGGCATGAAAAAATCTCCTTTCATTCACTTGTATGAGAGTCCTATTTGAGTAACTCTTAGATCTGCTCCCAAAGCTCATCTTGGGCAGAGAGTGACATTATGGAATTGCCATTTTGACAAGAGACGCAAATTCTTCCACTCTATCTGCAAGCAGGATTTAACCAGCAGGGCCAGCCATTTCGTTCATCGGATGTGTACTGATGGAAATCGAAACTGCTATTCCTGACACGTCTACGTGCACGCTGACCAATGAGCCGCTGACTCAATGGAGGAGCAAAATATTTCTAATGTTTCATTACTTATTGCGTTTTGTGCAGAAACGTATATTAATTTACATTAACATACAAACATATTGTAACGATAACCTAAATAAGCAGTAAATGCTCATGAGCAAGATGAACCCTAAAATGAATGAAAACACGATGTAAATCGTAAAGTGAACATTCGCCAGAATCAATAGTATTTTAAGCAAAATTTTTGTAGAAAGAGCGATGTATTAAACATGCGTGAACATTGTAACCGAATAATTAGAATGGCTAAGGCAATAAAAGCTAATGTAGGCAAAAAACTCTTATAAGCACATGTATAACATGGAATCATGCTAAAATGTGAAGCATCCAAAAGGATAACAGAAATTAATTTATCACAGACTAGTTTCATGCACTGGAACTTTTGCGCTTGTAATCTGGTTAATTCTCTTTAAATCCCTATATATATATAACAATTGTGAAAATCCCGACATACATTCAAACATGACGCAAATTGGATTGTTAGCAACAGTTATTATTTGCTAATTTGAACAGTAATCAGCACCTACAGTCGTTAGAATATTTTTAAATGTACAGGATTATCCTTTATTAGGATAAGCTGTAAACCTCCTTGTCAAAAACAACAGGCGCGTGAAAAAATTGAACATCCAACCACGAACTTATTTTTGTATTTTGCGCTGTCGAATTTCTGCTTCCCTATATATTTATTCCAAAATGAAGAGAAGGTGAATATCATAATGCGGACAAGTTTGTACCTCTCAGAATTCCAACTACAAAATACCCGAGTTTGAAAGGTATGAATGATAATATATCCACGTCATATCCTTGACACTATCATTAAAAATGAATCATTAATATTATTTTGTTAATTATTGTTTGGCTAATAATGGAGGTTGTCGACGTGTTTTAGCTCAGATCTACGCAAAATCATCAAGATGTGGCATACAAAAACTTAAAGCCATAGTTTCTATGGCGTATTTCAATCAACAGCAGACGAATATCCGGAAATGATCAGAAAGTGCTTTTGACAGGGAAAGGGGAGGGGAGAAAGATTGACTTCTATTCTTTTTACTTTGAAAAGGGCTTTAATTCTCAATTGACGGGACCATACAAGGGAGCAAATGTGGAGTCAGGTTGAAGAGATTGGGCTGGAAAAACGTTGCACTTTAATCTGATGAAAATTAGATTAAAGGCGAATTGTCGATTTACTGCAAATGAGATTTTGGTTAAAGAACCGCATTTCAGTTGCCGATGAACTCAATCATTGTTCAAAGAATTATATTAATATGTGTGAGTAAATTTTTTCCTCGGTTCGAACAAATAATACTGAAGATTTAAATTGATGATTGAGTTTAAATCAAGTCGTTTTTACAATGTTTTTGAAAGCAACTTCTAGGGATCAATGGATTTTAGTGCACTCAATATTCGGATTTGGATTTTATCATGTTTGTTAAATGGGCTCAAGTAATATTTCAAAATTCAAGGTTCACTATTTGTGTTCTGGGCCACAACAACGCTGACGGCGAGAGAGAGGGGGGAGATATTTGTATGCGGTGTCTATCAGAGGACTTCCAATGTCCACTTCATGTTGACTGGAGGTAGTATAAATGAAAGTTGGTGGTTGAAACGCCAAATATCGGAATTCCATACTATTTCAATAAATATTTGCTATTGAGAAATTGTCTTGGGCCTAACAACCAATCATTGGAATGCTTTATATTCTTCCAAGACCATTAGTAATTGATATCTATTGTCAAATGTACTTTTCAAGAATCTAAGTTCTTTAGACACAATAAGCCACTCCTACTTAATTAAAATATATTCTTTTGAGTTCGAGTGCCACTTTATACGGACTTTTGTAAACCCATACAATTAAAACAAATTTATCATCATAGGTTAAATTAACGCAAATTTCAGTTTATAATTAAAATTGAAGCAGAGACACAAAGTACACTTTATTGGATGAATTGCCTAAAGAAGAAACTCATCGTATCGATGTTATTTAGTTGGTTTTGATGCTAATCATGTCTGACAATTATAATATATCATTGAGAAATATTGAAATATACCAATAGTCTGGAATCCTCAAAATTTTGCAACCCGAATGTAATCATTCTTGCCTCATGGAAGACACAAAAAGATCTACTAAGAATGGTCAATCATTTAACTGATTAATATACCGTATAGTGAAGTCACTTGGAGATCTGTGAATAATATACCAAACTGGAGTATTCTCAAGTGCAACATGAATTAAAGCAAAATAAGTCTAATTATCACCATTTTTATAACTTTTAAAGTTTTAATGCTACTTAATTTCAACTTACTTCAGCAGAAGAACCGACTGAGATTGTTTCTGCATGAAAATTGAGCTTGAGTCCTAACGATTGAGCTTTTGTCAGAATTTGTCGCGATTGGTCAATACTGAAAAAGCCTGAAGGCAGAAAAGAAAGAGACACACGAAAATATCTTTAATCTTATTAGTTTAAACGCTCAAATTTTTATTCTCAATGTTTTGTTAAAACCGCAGCTCATGTTTACATGACAAATTCACCGGTTTTATCTGGCAGTTTCAATCATATCTAAATCTTCTCGAGGTTTTAACTATTCTGAATAAGGCCAATAAAACATTTATATTTTGATTTCTATTAAATCATTGAGGAACGGTTTTTTTATATTTTTGAGGAATTTTAGAAAGTGGATGGAATTTTAGTTTCTATTAAGATCTCAAGTTGTAGTACAAGTATAATAAACCCCACTCTCTTTTAAAGATAACCGATGATACTTCTTGTAAAAATGCTTATTAAATTAATAAGCAATCAGTTCATTGATAGGGATAAAATGACATTTTGATTACATCTGGTTGATCATGCAAAGTTCTAGTTTCCTAGATTTAGGATAGCCTTATCTTTGTCGGTGTAAAATTATAGCCATTAATTCTCAGCAATGTCATAATTTTGGAACATTTTCTTACCTTCAGCACATCTTACATCGATGTTATCGACCGTGATTTCTCCTTTCTCTATCAATTCCTGCAGTTCTGGAAGTCGCGTATTCACCACGTCCTCAGCAAGGGTTTCAGGCGTTGAATTTCTATAATACCAATAATGTATTATTTAAGTTTCAAATACTAGACTCGAATTTATCGTCCACAGCTCCCTAAAGTAGAATAATCAACCATTTAAAAAAGTAACTACACAACAGGCTATCAATATATAGTAAAGGATAATCTCACCATGCGATATTAAGGTATAGCATTATACAGCAAACAATTGAAATGTGTGCGGTTTTCTTTTGTATTGGCAAGGCCAATGTCATTTCTACTCCTGACTTCAATTTTGGGCTACAAAACTGATCACATTAACCTACTACCCGCATGCCAAGTTAAGTAGTATATGAGCACTTTGTAGCGCTCATAAGATAGATCATCCACTTTTCACTCCAAAATATGGGAACTATTTCCATTTATACCACCTAAGGGATTTGGAAATTGTCCAAAATACATCCACACACACACAAACACTTGATTATTTTCAAGAAAATGTTTATTAAGGAACATTGTTTTAGTAGATGCGAAAGAGTTCTATTTTTAATGTTGCAGTGTTGGGTTTTTCCCAAAAATTTATCCTACACCGTAGGGCAGACGGCAGAACATGATTGATTAAATACAGCAAGCGAGAAGAAGGCGTCCTTTTCCGACAGCGCCTTCGGTTCTGTTGAGGAAAATTAAACCTTTCATCCACTTTCGAAAGGTCAAAGTTAATGGCATAAGAAAAGTCAATAGCACAGTAAAATTAGGCTTTTTGATGACATAAGCTCCTTTGAGTGCCGCTAGGCATGTAATCCTACTACTGGTTCATATTAAGGAGATAAGCGCTGTTTTAATTTTAATTAACAAAAAGAAAGTTTTTTAAATTCTTTCTGCACAATTTTAAGCCCATAAAACGTTATTCTTGGAACAATTATGAGACTTCTTCAAGTGTGTTAATAATGGCATGCATTAATAAAAATAAAAAAAATAAACAGATACTTGGATGAAAAAATAAAAATAAAACAAGTGAAAACTTTGTGAAGCCAAGCCGTTATGACATAAACCTTGTAAAAAAACGTTAATTCAACTTTTAATAAGCTTGAAGCCCACTTCAATAGAAATCTAGGTAGCATTAAAAGTTCTTTTAAGAGTGAAAAAATCAATTGAAAGAGTAAAATCTGTAAGTTAAGCGCTCTAAATCACAATTTTATTCAACAAAAGCCCGATTAAAGCATTTCCAATTCATGTTTCATCCTCAAATCAGAATGTATTTTGAACGCCATGAACCTCTGCAGACAGTTGATGGTAGAATGCAATGAAATCCATGCAAATAGTAATTAATTCAAAATTTTCATTTTCTGATTTAAGCAGAGCATCAGATGAAAGTGTTTATTCCAGTTAGTCAAATTTCCTTGTCTCTCTCTCCTTTCAAATCTGACAATATTTGACACATGTTTTTTGGGTTTGTCGGATCATCAATCACCTGAATGTCAACTTTTGCCGCCGCAGTTTAGGTCTCATGAATAAATTTGAAGCGATCCTTTCAGAAGTGGCTTGCTTTAAAATTACACTTTTATGTTATGTGTTGGGGGGGAGGGGGGATGAGTGGGTCATGGATTCAGCAGAAAAGTTGTAAAATGAAGGAAAAAGGTCACGCAAAATACTAGTTAATAATTCATTAGATTTATTAGACTCCTGGCAAAACTTGATCTACCTTGAAACGTAAGCAGTTCATTTAGCTACCCATTTAAATTCTAATTAGTTTAGAAATATTTTTTTTAATCGATTGGTATTTAAGTTGTGTAAGTAAATATCATTTAGTTGCCGCCGTTATTAATTGCAACCTTTCCCAATTACTCATATCGTTCTTGCTTTCTGTTTTTGAAGTTAAAGAACCAATCAAATGAATTTCCGCGTCAGTCGAATTTTGAAAGAATTTAACTCTTGGAGAATGGTCCATGGACCCGAAGGACTGATAAGCGGATATCGTGAAGGCAGGATGATATATGGAGGGAGTGGAAGTACCCCTAATTTAATTCCTGCTTTCGAGGTGTTCTTCTTACTTTGTAGATTGGAAAATTATCCCCTTTCTATTCAATAAACTCGTGAATTAATCTTTGTTTCTTTCTGATTTATTCTTCTAAATTTCTGGTAATAACTACTTTCAAACGAATTATATTCTGCACAATATTAATGCAGATGTAACGTTTCCGGTGGATCAAACCAGGTTTGGCTTAGGAAATAGAAAGATTATTTGACTCGGATACAACCATGGTTTTATCCCCCCCCCCCTCACCCACTATCATTCCTTATTTTCAAGACTGGGAAAGTTGATGCAGCTTTCAATTAATTTTACCCTACCACCTCAAATATTTATTGTTTATATCAAATGGCAGGCGTTTTGATAGTTATCATTAGCTATTTAGTTGGCTTCAAGCTTCACAGAGGAGAAGGAACATCAAAGTGACAAAAAAATCGAGAAGGGGGGGGGGCAGAAGAGTATTTCAAAGATGTGAAAGAGACAGACACAAATACAGAAAAAAGGTGAGGTGAGTACTGTGAAAGTGGTGCGATATGATGTACAGTGGGGTGATGGTTGTTTGAAGTCAGAAGTCAACTGCTATTTAATTGACTTTTTGCCATTTGAGTATACGTTGCCCAGGGTTCACTACGTGAAGGTAAGTCTATCGCACACTCCCACTTCAAATATTATTGTTCGGTTTACCATTGATATATGAGTTTCCGTAATAACTACTCCACAATTAACCCACTCTCCGTTTCAACCAAGGATTCCGAAATGTTAGCCAATTTTTACGTCGTCCTAATTTTGACACCTCATTTAAATTTCTACAGTCCAAATTCAAATTTTTGGACCCGAATTAGCATTGCATACAGTAAATACTCGACTAAAATGCATTGACTTTAGTAGCCCTGCAGGTATTCATACCCAGATATAAGAGAAAAGCTGAAACAAGTGTCTGTCTGGCGTGTTCTTCGTCTGCATTGGAGTCTAAAATTCTCATCCTATAACACTAAAATGAAATATTTTTTCCAATCACTAATGTTAAATGAGAAAAGCCACATCAAGCCCTAATGGTCGAGATTCCAATTTCATGCGTAAATTCTCAGGCTACAGAGAAATCACTTCTGGACCATGTTCGAAACTTAGTGAAAATTTGGCTAATGAGTTAATCATCAAGTTCCCATGTATTCATCATTTGGAATAATTTGGTTGTACCGGCCAAATTCATTTTGTATAACAGAGCTCATTTATCGATGGACATTTTTTTGAGTAATGGAAAAGATTTCGTTACTTTTTAATGTCAGTGATTAGATAAAGGCAGATTCAGTAGATATTTTCGACAAACAAAATTCGCGATGATTTTAACTAGAGAATTCCCGCAATGAACACACGACGAAATGAACGAGATTAATTCGAATGTAATTCAACACCGCGGCTCCGTTTAAATTCATCGGATATCAATTTCAAAATATTGCCATATGGAAAATCATTTGGCTGTTACCGGTAATTTTAATTATTCGAATTTTCGTCAACAAGTTTAAACGTCTTGACCGACCGTTACAAAAGTAGTGGGCGATGTTCTTTTTATATAAAAGTATAAATAGTTAACTGGGACAAGATAAATTACTAGTAGGGGAGAGGGGGGGGGGGGAACGAGTATTCATGTTGAAAAAATTAGCAAATTTATTGCTGGCCTTTCATGAAAGGTAGTTCAATAAATGTATAAAGAAAAAATCAATATTTCTTTCTTTAATGCCCAATCAACTAACCATGAATGCCGTAAGGAAATTTCTTGTATGAAATTCCGGTTGCAGAGAAATTGTAAAGAAATAACTCTCAGAAAATAAGGATACGCTGCTAAAGATTTCCTTAAGACCAATAGATTACTCGAGTTAAGTAAAAAGTAGAAGGCGACAAAGTCACATGAAAGCACCAAAAAACTGTGCATAAACATGATTGATATCTGGATAGCAGATGACTTTATGCTGGGAACACTTATACACCCCCCTCCCACCCAAAAGATGGTAAATTAAGAATTTTCCAATTCCCCATTTCTACTTAGACGAAAATATTGAAGTCAACTTTTTAATTCCAATAAAGGCAGTCTGAACTTGCTTTGGTAGTATGCTAGCTGCAAAGTAGGTGATTGAAACATCCAAGGGTATTTCACGCTTAAGACGAGTAAGAATTCTCAAGATCTTCTTTTCAGTGGCCCAGTTTGAGCAATAATCTGTCTTGCACTCAAGTGTCGTTGTTCCCTTGCTTGCCATGGACTAAAAAATATAAAATAGGACAAGAGTTAACGAAAGGCTCATATTCCTTGTTAATCTTGCTGACTTTGAATTGAATTTTTCTTCCGAAAATTGCTTCGTCTACGAAGTGGCGACAACAATTTCTCCGATGCAAATAACTCAGAATTCGAATTCATTAGAGCCAAAAGCGAATTATTTTATATAGCCAGTGTTTTCGTTTGAACTAGGAATAGTTAGGCATTTGAATAAGAAATGGTGGAGTCGGAAGAAATGTTGCATAAATTCAGGATATTAGAAGGCTAAATTCTGATTCCTCAGGTTATCTTCCTGGGTGTGAAGGATTGAGGTTTTTTTTGCATAAAATCCCGATGTCTCAAGGTTCAAATTTTAGGAGGGACTTTTAGATATCTTACTAATGATGCATATTTTGCGGATAAGTAAGAGAGTATTCATGAAATAAGGGATATGGAATCTTGTAAAATTTATTTATCTTCAGATTGTCTAAAGCCAGGTCTATTGCATTTGTCAAGTTGAACTTCAAATGACAGAGCTAACAGGAGTACAGTATCATAAAGCATATTCGATATAAGCAATGCATACTTACTCGAATTCTTTCGAGAGTTGCATTGTAAAGAGCCTCTTCGCTTGCTACAGCGGTCCGTTCAACTGTGTAATCTGAATCTGAAGATTTTGCGGAGTCTGGCAACTCCATGTAAGACGCGCCTGCGACCTTTTGAAAAAAATCATCCACTCGATCACCGCCCCAAACCGGGTAGGTGTGCGCATCCGTAAACCCTAAATAGTGAAAAATAATAAAAATTATAGATTAATGTGCAGCGTTAATTACTTAGAAAGGGTGCAAGGAAGACGTACCTCCACGTAGTGCACTCTGGGTAACATATACTCATAAGGCAAAAAATCTATAAACAAATATTTGACTTCTAATTTCAAACTACCAAGACCCGACTCTATGTAATATTCCACTATTTCCGCATAACTCAACTTTCCTTTTTCTCTACTTTGTGTCTGTCTGTCTCTTTTACGTCTGTGATTCACTCTTCTGTTCACCCCACCCCTCCGTGAAGCAAATGGTTACTATCAGAAAGCCTGTCAGTTGATATAAATAAATTGCTTATTTATTATTATATGAAGGTTTCAATTTTAAATATAATATTTATTTATTTATTTATATCAAATGGTAGGCGTTTTGA